AACTGGACCTTCTTTGTTTTTCCTTGAAGACGTTTCACTTCTCATCCATCCAAGAAGCTTCTTCAGTTCTTTGTCTTCAAGCACCTTTGGGTCAACCATGACTTGGATGACTGAGAATCTCCATAGACAAGATATTCTCCTGCTTCCATTTGTTCTTCTCACCTTACATCAGCTCTACAGGATCACCTAGTGAGACTTGGTTAGTGTTAGATTTGCAAATGGAAGCTTTGTTGCAGCTGTGTTTCACTGGTCATTTTCTTGTATTCTGTTGCAGTCTTCTTTCTCTTCCCTATTTTGCACTTATTTGGTGTAGCCAGCTATGACTGGGCCCATAACCTGTTTGAAATTCTGCATATAGCCCTTCAGAACAAACTGTGCACAGTCCACATGTGCTTTTCTGCTTAACTGCCACATGGAAGCAGGAAACTTTTTATTCAAAGTAAAGACATAGAGAGTATACCATAGATGCAACTACAAATTTATAAACACTGCCATCTACTGGTTGAAGAATACATATCTCTACTGAATACTGCTGTAGTTGTACTAAATACATAAACACTGTATTCCAACAGTTAGATGTTGGGTCTTCCCTGTCTCTATGCTTGCCCTCCCACCTTCTTTGAACCATGTGCAGAGCAGACAATAAAGTGCCTCAGAAAGAAACCGGTTTCATTTCATTTATTGGACGAAAATTATTCTCTATATCCCTTAAATAATCTTTATGATAGAAATCTCGATAAGTACTGTATACATGATTGTCAAGGCAGAGAATAATTTGCAACACAGCCCCATGAACAATTTGTAGCATCGCAAACTCCTTAGGCGGGCTAAACATTTTGCTATGTCTTGTTACATGCACTGAGTAAATACACATTTCCCTTCTCAAAGTTGGTGTTATAGAACTGAATTGATTACAAGAGTTATAGTAACAGGCACACTGAACATTCCCAGATTAAATTTGCAGGTGTTTTTTTCCCCTTTTAAATGGGCTTTTTAATAAATATTTTTAAAAGCATGCTTGCTTTTTTTGTTGTTGTTGTAAAAGTAAAAATAAGAATGAGATGTTTTGCCGTAAATGCCATTTTTAAGAACCGTTCCAGATTCGGATCTGAGTAAAACCAAGCTTTTTTTAAAAAAAAAGCAAACCCAAATGAATAATATGTACATAAAATGCTGAATCTCATTTAGGAACAATAGTCCTCAGTCAGCTTCAATCACAAGAAACCGGTCACATGTAACAATAGGTGTAGCTCTGATTGAAAATATACATCCAAAGTCTTACCCAGGTCATTGAATGACTTTTGAAAGTACATTATAATAGACATGAGAATACACAAATTAATCAACAATATATGCCGCAGTGTAATTCCTTTGATTTTCCTGTTGGGTTGCTGGGTCTCAACAGTCCAAAGCATCCAGAAAGCTTAAGGCTACAAAATTAAACCCACTTATGGAGGAGCAAGTCCCATGGAACTGAATGGGTCTTATTTTCAAGTAAGTACGCATTCAGGTTTTGCCAGAGAATCAATTAAAACGTATTTCATTCTATAGCTGGCTGGGATCAAAAGCTACAGATATTTGGAATGTTCTAATCAGAATAACCAAAAAACAGAGTTGGAAGGGACCTTGGGGGGTCTTCTAGTCCAACCCCCTGCTCAAGCAGGAAACCCTGTACCATTTCAGACAAATGGCTGTCCAGTCTCTTCTTAAAAACTTCCAGTGTTGGAGCACTCACATCTTCTGTAGGCAAGGTGTTCCACTGATTAATTATTCTCACTTTTAGGAATTTTTTCCTTATTTCTAGATTGCTTCTGTCCTTGATTAGCTTCCATTCATTGCTTCTTGTCCTGCCTTCAGTGCTTTGAAGAATAGGTTGACTCCCTCTTCTTTGTGGAAGCCCCTCAAATATTAGAAGACTGCTATCATGTCCCCCCTCATCCTTCTCTTTGTTAAACTAGACATACCCAATTCCAGCAACCATTCTTCATACGTTTTAGCCTCCAGTCCCCTAATCATCTTTGTTGCTCTTCTCTGTACTCTTTCTAGAGTCTCAACATCTTTTTTATATTGTGGTGACCAAAATCAAAGTGAATCAAAGTGGAGCACTTTTGAGCATCATTAATTTCAGTGTGACTTGAGTTGTGAAGACCCCAGAGATTCTTAAATGGCTCTTTGACTAGAGTGCACCAACTTCTACAATTCACAGAATGAGACAACTTGCTGCAGCCAACTCACTGCAGCTATGTGAAAATTAAAAGTATGCACATCTTCTATCTATATCTCCCAGCTTTCAAATTGTAGCTTTCAAACTTCCCACTTACATTTGCCAGGAAATTCCTGTGGAAACATCCTGTTACGGAGGATTATGCAATATTTAATGGAACTTTCCCTTTTCTTTCTTCCTCCCCCCCCAAAAATTGGATGCAATGCACAGATAGAGAAAATGTTTTTCTCAATACTTGTTGTTATTGGAATACAATTTCATCCTGCATAATGTGGCGAGAACTTAGAAAATTCCCAATTCTGTCCCATAAGGGGAAAGAAGTAATTGCAAACCATTTTTTTCATTGATGGCTTTCTGATCTTCCTATGAAGGAAGCAAAGCAACATCTCAAAGCTACGCAATTATGCAAAGCATCGTCACGTATGAAGTCATTGGCGGGTTTTGTGACATTGTGTTAATACTGTTTTTTTTCTTCCTTCCCACATTCCTATTGATGCTGCAAGACTTAAGATGGAGCTGTCTCGAATACTTTTTCCAAAAGGCAACTGGACTTTCTTCTTGTTGTTGTTTTTCTTTGAAAACGTTTTGCTTCTCTTCCAAGAAGCTTCTTCAGTTCTTTAGTTGAGATTGGCAGAACTGAAGAAGCCTCTTGGATGAGTAGCAAAACATTTTCAAAGAAAAAAACCAAGAAAGACAGAATAATAGAGTTGGAAGGGACCTTAGAGTCCAACTCTTGTTCCAAAAGGAGACCCTATCTATACCATTCCAGACAAATGGCTGTCCACTCTCTTCTTAAAAGCCTCCAGTGTTGGAGCACCCACAACTTCTGGAGACAAGCTGTTCCACTGGTTAATTGTCCTCATTGTCAGGAAATTTCTTAGTTCTAGATTGCTTCTCTCCTTGATTAGTTTCCATCGTTTCTTGGACTACCTTCAGGTGCTTTGGAGAAGAGGTTGACCCCCTCTTCTTTGTGGCAGCCCCTCAAATATTGAAACACTGCTATCATGTCACCTCTAGTCCTTTTAAATTAGACATACCCAATTCCTGCAACCGTTCTTCATATGTTTTGGCCTCCAGCCTCCTAATTATCTTTGTTGCTCTTTTCTGTACTCTTTCTAGAATCTCAACATCTTCTTTACATCGTGGAGACCAAAACTGGATGCAGTGTCCCAAGGGTGATCTTACTAAGGCATTATAAAGTGGGACTAACGCTTCATGTGATCTTGGTTCTATCCCTAATCCTTGCTTGCTTAGCTTTTCCACTTGCGTGAGTAGAAGCTATAGAATGAGATACGTTTTACAAAACGTCAAATCTGAGAGACGGAAGGAAGCCTACGGATTCGGAAAGCTTTTTCATAGAAAGCCAAAGGCTGGAAAAGCAAGCAGAGTCATCAAAACATGCAGTGCAGTTTCATGCATTTATTAGACGTCTCGTTGTTAATTCTTCCAGCAACAATTCCCAATTCTGTACCAAGGCTTGGCTTTACCTATCTGTTTCCCTCCATTCCTCAATTGCGGGGGGGTGTGTGTGTGTGTGGAGTTGAAAACTTCACACAAAAACCAGGACTATCTTGTTTTTCCACCCAGAAAAAAGAAAATAATCTCTCTTTAAAAAAAAAAAAGTTTCTATAAATGTAGTGCCATAGTATGTATGTATCAGTTTATTATTATTATTTTTTTGAAAAGAACCCAAGATAAAAATAGAATCTATTTTCCCCTCTTCTGTACCCAGATACCCTTTCCAAAACTTTGCATTTTTTTTTTTAAATGGTGAATGACATAAGGATGTAGATCAGTTTCTGGGACCCTGAGATTTAGAATGGGTACTTTTGAAACTTCTCATTATTAAAATAGATTAAAACAGCTCTGAATGAAAAATCTTTTGATTTATGAAAAATAGGGGCATTGGTGAATTTTTTTCCCCAGATTGAAATAAAACAGAAGAGCGATTCTCCTTTGCTGTATGAGTTTAGCAAATTAAAAGGACTTTATGTGTATAACATTACAACACAGACATAAAGGAGAATATCTGTAGCTCTCTGAGCTTGGTTATTTTCCTGCAGACGTTTCATTACCCAACTAGGTAACATCATCAGTGCTAACCTGGACAGGCTTTACAATGTAAAGCCTTGGGATAAAGGGAAAAAAGAGACAGAGAAAGGAATAAGGAAGAGAGAACCACTGTTTGGAGTTAATTCTGGCCATCAGAGATGGGGTCCAGCCCAAATTTAAGCATTTATATTGATTTTAACGGGAAGGACTTATGCCCGACGGTGTTTTTCTCACTGGCCTATTGCTTTATTCTGTGCTATTGACTTATGTTCTTGCCTCACGTAATGTGGATGATTTTATTAACTAGTCTTTTTTAACCAGACAGGCAAATCTGCAAGAGAAAGGGACATTTTCCCTTTGAATTCTTCTTCTTCCTTATGGATCCATTTTAGCTAAATCAAGATATCATAAAAAGGATTTCCTTCCTCTCATGTTAAATCCCAGTCTTATTCTTTGACAGAAAGCTGTACAGAAAGATTCTAGCACAATCCACCTTTATTCCAAGTGCTGCATGCCAGCAATTTGTTTTCAGGTTTGCAAAGCGGTATATTTGAGCCTTAAGTAAACCACAATGGAAAAACCAGATGCATTTTTTGCGCATTTCTGGGAAGATCACATTTCAACGCAAGGTGGATTTTAATATCCCAATTGCCTAACATTTCTGAAAGACTCAGGAATCACTCCACAGCTTGCTGTAAATGACTGCTGGGTCAGTACTGGGAAAAAAAACCCACCCTTTTTCTAATTGCTATATTCATGGGGGCAAAAATGACATTTGGTTTGGGTGAAGGCTATCCAGCTCCTTTGCTTGGGAGATTCAATTTAAAACAAACCATTCCACATTTTACTAGAAAGAATCATACTGAAGCCTTTTACAGGACATTTATTTCCTGACGTGTCTATTCTGATGTGTTTGTGAACTTCTCCAGTTCCTCCGTCCTGTTTCATTCTTTGCTTTTTATGCTGTCATTTTATACTGCCATATCCTTTGGAATATGCTGGTCTTTGGCCATAATAAAATTTTTGTAGGGGCTTTCCTTCCCCCCTCAGTTCAATTGAAAAGGGGAAAAAATAAAAAACCCAGGGAAATTCTTCAAGCCCCATTTTGGAGCCCATAGAGATGGGTCTGGTGTGAATGCAAACAGAAAATAAATGTATTATTTCAGGGGTTAGCACAGCACCCTATTCTGAAATTCAACCCCCTTCCGTGGGACTGGAAGGAAACGAGAACTTGTTCCCGTTTTCTTGACAAGATACCGTGCCGAAAGCTGTTCATTTTCAACGTCACTGCAAGATCCAGGCAAGTCTGCAGTCCAAAGTTATGGAGTTAAGAAAAAATATGTATATATATAATGTATATGCATATATACATATAAAACAGGCCACAACAGCCTTCCTGATTTGAAAGATTAATGCAAACTTCTTTGTATTCTCTACTTCTGAAAAAAAAAACACGAGAATAAACCCCCCCGAAAGCTGAAAAAAACAAAGAAACGAAACAAAAGCAAAAACACAACCATTTGAAATTACTCTAAATAATCCAGTTGCGCTATTTTGTTAAGGAAAACCAAAGCAGGTATGGATATCAACGCTGTGTGAACAGAGTTAAATCATTGAGGAACCAACACAGGTCCAACTGAGTCAGAACATTTTGGATTCCTGGAGCCAGAATCAGGTGCCACTCTCTTCCCCATCCTCCAGAGGTCACTGCCGCTCGCGATGAATGCCACTTTTCTGAATGGCGGTATAAAATATGGCCATTTATTTTTTGTGTGTGTGTGTTTTTTTAAAAAATCCTTCTATTCTTCTAATGCTTCGATGTGTTTTGCAATGCAGGATGAAATCACCTGGGAGAAGGTTTCCATTTCCTGCCTGGGCACCGGGGATTTTTTCTCCCATCTCTGACAACTTCCCTGTGGGTGGGATCACAGGGTGACCTGGATCACTTGGTCCCTGTGTGTATTGTGGTTGTGGTTATCGTGGTCTGTCTGGGCCTCTTCTCTCCCACAGCAGAAATGCCAGTTGAAGCTGAAGAAGGAAAACTACAGAGAGCAGACGAGTTCATACCTGAAAGAAGAGAGGGAAAGAGACGTCGCCGATCAACCTCTGTGCAACCGATGAGTATAATGCTCAGAAGACATAAGTTGGGAAGGAGAGATCTAACATGTAGCCCCTTTTCCCCCAGGGAAGGAAATTCTTGGTTAATCTTGAAGGTCCTACCAAAGTCCATGTTGCCCTTAGTTGCCATACTTTAAGATAGCTCTTCTCTACCACCTCTTCCTTCCTGATAACATGACTTCCAGAACTTCATTTATTTATTGTGAGGAAACATTGCTCACTTCTATTTTGCAAAGTGTGAGCATTTCCTCAAGTTTGATTTCATCCTACCAAGTATTTCCAACAAAGGACGGACAGCTGAAAGACTGGATTGAAAGAAATTGCAACCGTGGCTGATCACCACTATTGAGGAATAGTTAAATATCAGGCAGAGCAGAATAACAGACTAGAATAACAGAGTTGGAAGAGACCTTGGAGATCTTCTAGTCCAACTCCCTGCTCAAGCAGGAGACCTTATATGCCATTCTGGACAAATGACTGTCCAGTCTCTTCTTAAAAACCTCCAGGGAACATCCATAACTTCTGGAGGTTAGCCCTTCCACTGATTATTGTTCTCACTGTCGGGAAATTTCTCCTTAATTCCAGGTTGCTTCTTTCCTGGATTAGTTTCCATCCATTCCTTCTTGTCCTGCCTTCAGGTGCTTTGGAGAATAGCTTGACTCCCTCTTCTTTGTGGCAGCCCCTGAGATATTGGAAGACTGCTGTCACCTCACCCTTACTCCTTCTTTTCACTGTACTAGACATACCCAATTCCTGCAACCCTTCTCCATACGTTTCAGCCTCCAGTCCCCTAATCCTCTTTGTTGCTCTTCTCTGCACTCTATGTAGAGTCTCAGCATCTTTTTTATATCATGCTGAAGATGGCCAAAATTGTGCAGAAGGTGGTCAATATTTATGTAGCAGAAGGTGGTCAATATTGGTTTAAATAAGCTGTGCCCCAAACTCCCGCTTTACGCCTGTGCCTGCTACTTGCTTCGTACTTACACTCTTTTCTGGATGTGCCATCTGGGAGCGGATTGGCGAGACTAAGGTTGTTTGATACGCTAATGTTTGAACCGCTGTCCAAACTATTGCCAAGATGTAACCGTCGCATGTGTCTAACCACGGCTGTGGCGTTAAAAGCTTGCTGGAAAAGAAGAGACAAAGAAATGACTTTGAGACAAAGAAGTAACATGACACTACAGCTTCAGCGTATCTGCTCTCCCAGCATATCAGATTGCTTAAGGTCCCCTCACATTGAGAAGCCACAAATAACACATGCACTGGCATGGTTGAATACAGGTAGTCCTTGACTTACAGCCATTGGTTTAGGGACTGTTCAAAAGTTACAACGGCACAGAAAGTGAGTGCAGTCCAGTCCTCACATTTATGACTATCACAGCACCCTTACTGTCCTATGATGCTAACTCAGGCCGCAAATACTCAGAATGTATGGTCGTAGCCTACTGGGGCGACATGATTGCCACCTGAGATCTTCCCAGCTGGCTTCCAGTGAGCAAAGTTAATGGAGGATGCCGGTTTCCCTTAATGACCATATGATTCACTTAACAACCTTGGCAAAAAAAGGAACAACTCACTTAACAACGGCCTCACTTAGTGTCAAGTGCCTGGGAAATCAGGAGATTCAAGCAGTTCAACTGAGTATAAAGATGTTTTGCAAGCTTAAACTCTCTACAAGAATCTGGCCGACTAACAGTGAAGGGAAATGAGCAGGAGATAAGAAAGACATTGAAGGTGGCCTGGACTTAGATCTCTTGTAGACACCAGGGACTTGTGACTTATGATGGATTTGATCCCTCCTTTGGGCTGAGCCTGGTCATCTCCTACACTTAGCCACGCAAGTTCCGGTTTCAATTATAGTCGTAAGTCGAGGACTACCTGTATTTTTCATCCAAAATGCTAAAATGTATTTAAGGCAGAAGCATCCATGAAGAAGAAGTCAAATAACTCAAGATGGCGGACTTGACAGGTTTCTGCACATACAACGCTTGTAAAAAGGAAGATCAGCTTTGGTTATCTGGATTGCATCTGCCGGGAGACTCCCTGATTTAAGGACACACACACACAGTTGTGGGTTCCAGCCTTCACACAAGGCAGATTTTGTTTAGGACATGCACCAAAAGGACACACACACAAAAAAGGAAAATAAAATAAAATAAAATAATATAAAACAAATATTATCACATTCCTTCTTTTTCATTCCAGTTAGTAGTTTGGAAATATCCAACATCACCTCACGTAGCCTGGAAAATAATACTTTTTTTCTCTCCCCCTATTTAGAGAAAATGACTCTTTCCACAACCATACAAAGCATAACACCCCACCCCAGGAAGTCTGTCTAATGAAATAAAATGTTTTATCTCACAGAGACTAAGCCGGTAATTTGCTGTCACAAAAGATGGCCTATCTGACGGCCGGGCAATTTTTACTAGATTTTTTTTTTAAATATAGCTTTTTATTGAAAGTATTGTTCCTGGCTTTGTTTTGGTGATATTGATCTAAAAGAACAGAATAACGGAAGGGACCTTGGAGGTCTTCTATTCCAACCTTTTGGACTCTACTATTTCAGACAAATGGCTGTCCAATCTCTTCTTAAAAGCCTGCAGGTTTTTAATTTAATTGGGATTTGATCTTGGTTCTTCTCTTTAGAATTAATTAGGCTCACTAAGGAAGGTGTTTGGAACCAGAAGGGTTTAGGATGGATGAATAAAATCAGAATCTGCAATTTTCCCTTGATCCATGAATTTGTTCGTTGCACGGAAGAAAAGAGAAACAGAATTAAAGCATAAGATAGGTTTCATTATCTGAGGAGATTTCTCCTGATGCTGAATTCAACAGCACTTATTCAAAAAGGAACAGCACGACTAGACCAAGCTAAATTTTCCTGAGGAGAACAAGAATCATAATCTTGGAAAGATGAGAAAACATCTTCATGTATGCTTTACAAAGCATGCATGCATAAATGAATGAATGAATGAATGAATCAGTCAGTCAGTCAGTCAGTCAGTCAGTCAGTCAGTCAGTCAGTCAGACAGACAGACAGACAGACAGACAGACAGACAGACAGACACAGCCAGCCAGCCAGCCAGCCAGCCAGCCAGCCAGCCGCCAGTCAGTCAGTCAGTCAGTCAGTCAGTCAGTCAGTCAGTCAGTCAGTCAGTCAGTCAGTCAGACAGACAGACAGACAGACAGACAGACAGACAGACAGACGCGTCAATCAGCCAGCCAGCCAGCCAGCCAGACAGACAGACAGACATGGCCAGACAGACAGACAGACAGACAGACAGACAGAAAACAGACAGACGCAGTCAGTCAGTCAGTCAGTCAGTCAGTCAGTCGGTCAGTCAGTCACTCAGACAGACAAACAGACAGACAGACAGACAGACAGACAGACAGACAGACAGACAGACAGACAGACAGACAGACAGACAGACACAGTTAGTCAGTCAGTCAGTCTCCAACAGTGTAAACCATTTGAGAACTCACTCTCCATTTGCTTTTTGCAAAGTTCTTGCGAATCTGGGCGCTGACGGACTCATGGATATTTTTGCTGAGGGCTGTGTCACCGGCGATCCTGAAAAAAATAAAATAAAATAAGGAAGATGTTTGATGAAGCCGTTGCTTTTAAGAGTTTACAACTGTAGGAACATTCCTCGTCGTTTTTACCAAAACAAGAATGAAATCCAGCTCTACATTTTTATCAACGGGTTCAGTAAGAGGATAACTGCCCTAATAGTTACCAAGGAAACTCAGAATTAAACGCAGCGGTGCATTTTATTCTTGAATAAAAAAAATCATCATTTCCCATAAGATGAGCCTCAGGAAAGCTCTCCGTAGACCTCTCAACCAGCAGGGTTATATTTAGTGAAGGACCAGAATCATACAGCTTACTCTCAAAATTGTCTAATCTTTGTCTTGATGTGGGCATTCGTCCAGTTGGAAGTACTCCTTGCTTGATAGGTCATGGTTGATCTGGACTAGGTCATGGTTGATCTGGAAGGTGATTCTCAAACAGAAATCCTGATTCTGGACAGAGGCTATGTGCTCAAGAGTTTCCCACNCCACCTATTAAGATTATGATCTGACTGGGATATAGACCATTTCTTTAATGTCTCTTCTTAAGCTGCCTTGTTATCTGCTGTTGAAGCAATTCTCTGAGGACGTTTGAGAGGAGAGTCACTTGAAGTGGGAACACAAACGAGAACCTTCACTGCATTGATAACCCTTGCTTCAGAATATCCTCCCTGGAAAGGCATTTTTATTTCATCTGCCATTTTGAGCATCAGTAGTAGTGCTCAAATACTCAAATACTTTGGCCACCTAATGAGAAGGAAGGACTCACTGGAGAAGGGCCTAATGCTGGGAAAGATTGAGGGCAATAGAAGAAGGGGACGACAGAGAATGAGGTGGCTGGACAGAGTCACTGAAGCAGTAGGCATGAGCTTAAATGGACTCCAGAAGATGGTAGAGGACAGGAAGACCTGGAGGAACGTTGTCCATGGGTTGGACACGACTTCGCAATTAACAACAACAACAAGTAGTGCTTTATGCCTCTTGGAGGGAAGCCAAGAAGGAAAGATGGAAGCAACAGAAGAAGGAGGAACTCAAAAGTTTTCTTTGACCTGAATCAATTTCTGGAGACTCCATAAACTCAGCCATGTACTTTTCATGGCAACAAGAGTGAAGTTGTTTTCTTCAGGGACTATCAGGTGCAAAGAATCAGGATATGTGAAATTACAATCCAGAAGATTTATTGCTAAAGCCTCTACACAAGAATCCAGTCAACTAAAGTTCAAAGCTAAATTGGCGCCAGCTAAGGGTCAACAGAATTCAAGAGACATTGGAGTTCGACCATTTGTGGGAATGTAATGACTCTTGGCTGATGACTTGCTTAACTGCCTCCCAGCTCTGCCTGTTCATCTCCTGCAGAACCATGGTTTCAGATTCCCAAACTAGCTTGCAACTCCATGGCTTCTTGGTGGCTAATCTCCCATTCAAATCTTCTGCAGGGCTGATTCTACTTAGCTTTCTAGATGAGCCAGTATGGCCTAGAGATCTTGCCAAGGAAAACATCTGGCCAAGAACAGATACCTAAGCTTGGATTTTTATTGTGGATGGGTCAGTGGAAAACCCTTGGCACATCTTCAATCAGCCCCTTGCTGAACACCACAGATTTTTCTTTCCTTCCATAAACAAAAGGATCTCTTTAACAGCTTCCTGACAACATTTGCCAGGTCAAGCTTTTCTTGTAAATGAGAGGGAAGATTCCCTACAGCCCTAAATCATCAGAAATCTGGAGTTGGCCTTCTCCCTTCAAAGTATCTTCTGTGCTTGACTCAAAGTATCTTCTGTGCTTGACTCAAAGTATCTTCTGTGCTTGACTCAGTTGACTCATTCTTCGTTCCTCTGCTTCCCAAAAAACCTATTTGTGTCAGTGGAAGTTCCTCAAGACCGGAGTATGTGGTTTAGAATTTTATCAAAAGAAGCAAGGAATATTTGCAGCCAGTGAGAAAGGATACATGGAATCTGATCAGCAAGCACAGCCTGGAGAAGAGAGTGTAGTCTATACACTCAAGATTTTGGCTGCCACAACAAAGACTTAAGATACTCAAAGCATTAAATATTCTGTGGTGTAATTTAAATCAATGAACCCTCGCTGCTTGATGGAATGGAAACTTTAGAGCAAACTCTAAAGAAGCATCCAGGAAAAGCAGCAGAAATAGCAAGTATTGGTGGCCGGGTTGCCAGTCAGCTCATCCCAGAATTACATGGTAAAATAATCAGACATTTGCTTCACATCATCCAATGATCCTGGATTAAATCTAAAGAAGGGGTTTCTCTCTCTGTTTTGCAAAAACTAACAACAGATCCTGATGTCTAGGGAGATTCTCAATCATCCTCCACCATTCAGTGAGAACTAAAGAAGCTTCTTGGATGACAAGAAGGAAAAACAAAGGAAGTCCAGTTGCCTTTTGAAAAAGCATCTTTGAGACAACAGACCCTGATGCTTATTTAAAGGGGCTGAAATTATCTTTTTGGTTTTCTCCATTACCATTTTTTTTCTATAGCTTTATTTTTCTTGGAGGTTATCTTGGGGATAATTAAAGAACAGCTTCAAACAGCATGGTTGACCCATTGGAGAAGCATAGCTAAAACACACAGTCCAAAATTAGAGCTATCAGTTTACACCGCAAAACTTCAGGCAACCACTAGATGGCAGCAAAATGGACCTGTATCCTACATCCTTTCTGTATCCAACGTCCCCCTAGTGGTCATTTACAGTTTAGCAGTCGAGATACGACTGAGATGTGGGTTCATAATACATTAATGTCAATTCAGCGGGAAAATAACACCTGCCTCTTTTTCCATTAAAAAAAGGAGAGGAAGGATGAACATAAAAGGAATTGAGAGTCACGATGAGAATGGCAGATTGCCATTTCACTGAGAGCACATAGTAAATCTTCCTCTATGGAGAGGGAAAGAGCATTCAATTTTTCGGTGCTTTAGATTTCCATTAAAAAAAAAAAAATCTACTCTCTGCTTTCTGCTTACCCAGACTGAGTCTCAGATCTATGTGTACCGTTCTGATTGCAATCATAAGACTTGGTTGCCAAGAGCTTTAAATCCTAGTCTGTATTGCTGACAGGCTATGATATTATAATTAAGTTTTCTGCTCCTTCTCTTTCTTCTCCTTTGCACTAAGATCTTCCCCAGAGATGAATGAGACTGGAATTTATGAACATGTCAATTGATTGAAGAACTCAGCTTACCATGGATGTCGGGCTGCCTGTTCACAGGTATATCTTTTATTGGGGTCTTTCTCCATCAAGTTCCGAATAAAATCTTTAGCTGGGAGAAAGGAAAACAGCAGAAAGAAACGGGTATTTGGTAGCTGAAGGAACAAAACGGCACAGTGGTATTATAAAGGTATCACGATGCAGCCCAAACCTGACTATAAAGGGAATTACATGAATAATCAAGTCAACGCATTGATTATGTAATGAAGTTCAGCTCAACACTCAGTTTTATTTTACTTGCACAGTTGCTATTAACGGGTTTCTCAGACAGGAAGATATAACTGGGTTTACTAACTGGAGACTTAGAATTGATTAACATAACGGTATAATAGAATAACAGAGTTGGAAGGTCTTCTAGACCAACCCTCTGCTCAGGCAGGAAACCCTATACTATTTCAGACAAATGGTTGTCCAATCTCTTCTTAAAAACCTCTAGTGTTGGAGTACCCACAACTTCTGGACGAAAGCCGTTCACTGGTTAATTGTTCTCACTGTCAGGAAATTTCTCTTTAGTTCTAGGTTGGTTCTCTCCTTGATCAGTTTCCATCTGTTGCTTCTTGTCCTGCCCTCAACTGCTTTGGGGAATAAGTTGACCCCCTCTTCTTTATGGCAGCCCCTCAAATATTGGAAGACTGCCATCACATCACCCCTAACCCTTCTTTTAGTTAAATCAAATATAGCCAATTTCTGCAATATTCTTCTACAAACATTCTTCATATGTTTTAGCCTCCAGTCCCCTAATGATTTTGGTTGCTCTTCTCTGTACTCTTTCTAGTGTCTCACTCTTTCTAGAGAGGGATAGAATCAATATCATGTGAAGTATTAATACCACTTTACAATGCCTTGGTAAGGCCACACTTGGAATACTGCATCCAGTTTTGGTCACCACGATGTAAAAAAGATGTTGAGACTCTAGAAAGAGTACAGAGAAGAGCAACAAAGAGGATCAGGGGACTGGAGGCTAAAACATATAAGGAACGGTTGCTGGAATTGGGTATGCCTAGTTTAATGGAGAGAAGGATGAGGGGGGACATGATAGCCGTGTTCCAATACCTCAGGGGCTGCCCCAAAGAAGAGGGAGTCAAGTTATTCTCCAAAGCGCCTGAAGGCAGGACAAGAAGCAACGGATGGAAACTAATCAAGGAGAGAAGCAACCTAGAACTAAGGAGAAACTTCCTGACAGTTAGAACAATTAACCAGTGGAACAAACCTGCCTCCAGAAGCAGTGAATGCTCCAACACTGGAAGTTTTTAAGAAGAGACTGGACAGATATTATTATCTTTTTTACATCATGGTGACCAAAATTGGCTGCAGTATTCCAAGTATGGCCTTACCAAAGTGTTATAAAGTGGTATTAACACTTCACATGATCTTGATTCTACCCATCTGTTAATGCAGCCTGAGTTGGCTTTTTTGGCAGCTGCAGCTGTACCATATTAAAAAAAGAAAAAGAAAAAGAAAAAAAAAAGGAGGGAAAGAAGGAAATAGCGACTTTTCCACAATAGGAATTGAGTTGTACACTAAACCCAATGTTTCCCAACCTTGGCAACTTTAAAATGTGTGGATTTCATTTCCCAGAATTCTCCAGCCAGCATGTATGTAACATCAAAGCCCCCTTGCAGCAGCTCTGAATAGGAAAACTACAGGAAAAAGAGAAGATCAAATAAATGGTATTAGGGGACGATCCTAACTCGTTTCTTACCAGATTCAGAGATATCATCCCAATAGGGAGAGTCAAATTCATATTCTGCTTTCAGAATTTGCTCAAACAGCTTGGAGTCGTTTTCGTCGTAGAACGGAGGGTAGCCGCAGAGCCTGAAAAATTAAAAATGTGTTCAGTCACGGGGAAGAAAATTACTGAAGAAATCCTTAAGGATTTTTATTTTTTTTACAGCTTTGGATTTGGGCGATGCAAATGCCAGGTAAATACACATAGTCCTCGACTTATAACAGTTCATTTAGTGGCCATTCGTAGTTTCAATGGCACTAAAGAAAGTGACTTATGACCGTTTTTCACACTTATGACCCATGGAATCGCCAAGTTGGACACATCTGAATGGATAAGATAATTAGAACAGAACAGAACAGAACAGAACAGAATAGAATAGAGCTGGAAGGGACCTTGGAGGTCTTCTAGTCCAGCCCCTTGCTCAAGCAGGAGAACCTATCCCATCTCAGACAGGTGACTGTCCAGTCTCTTCTTAAAAATCTCTAGTGATGGAGTGCCCATAATTTCTGGAGACAAGCTGTTCCACTGGTTGATTGTCCTCACTGCCAGGAAGTTTCTCCTTAATTCCAGGTTGCTTCTCTCCTTGATCAGTTTCCAACCATTGTTTCTCATCCTTCCCTCTGGGGCTCTGGTGAACAATCTGGCCCCCTCTGCCTTGTGGCAGCCCCTCAGACACTGGAACACTGCTATCATGTCTCCCCTATTTCTTCTTTTGTTTACTGCAGCCGTTCTTCGTATGTTTTGGTCTCCTGGCCTTTGATCATCTTAGTTGCTCTTCTCTGACTTTTTTCCCAGACTCTCAACATCTTTTTTGTGATAAGGTGACCAAAATTGGCTGCAGTATTCCAGGTGTGGTCTCACTGGGGTTTTATAAAGTGGTAATAATACTTCATTGTTTGATATTACTTACAGAATATACGCAATCACTCCAATGGACCAGCAGTCCACTGCTTTGCTGTATGGTTTCTGGGCAAGGACTTCGGGAGCTGCAGAAAGGAAAGAGGAACGGAGAGAAATGAACAAAGGAGAGAACATTAAATGAAACTGGCCGGCATCCAACCGAGAGCTGAAGGCGTGCTCACTGCAGCGTGGCCTCCACTCTCTTCAATTGCTTCTAAATGGCAGAAGGGAAACCCTGCCAACTTGCACGAAATGGAGAGAACAGACAAACTCTGAAGCTTCTCCTGCAGCCCCTTCCTTCTTTCCATCATCAGTCACCCATAATAATAATAATGATAAAGTTGGAAGTTTCTTAAAAACTTCCAGTGTTGGCGCATTCACCGCTTCTGGAGGCAGGTTGTTCCACTGGTTAATTGTTCTAACTGTCAGGAAGTTTCTCCTTAGTTCTAGGTTGCTTCTCTCCTTGATTAGTTTCCACCCGTTGCTTCTCGTCCTGCCTTCAGGCGCTTTGGAGAATAGCCTGACTCCCTCTTCTTTGTGGCAGCCCCTGAGATATTGGAACACTGCTATCATGTCCCCCCTCGTCCTTCTCTTCATTAAACTAGACATACCCAATTCCAGCAACCGTTCCTTATATGTTTTAGCCTCCAGTCCCCTAATCATCTTTGTTGCTCTTCTCTGTACTCTTTCTAGAGTGTCAACATCTTTTTTACATCGTGGTGACCAAAACTGGACAATTCCTAGGGAGAATACAGGTAGTCCTCGACTTACGATCACAAAGGAACCCAACATTTCCGTTGCTAAGGGAGAGAATGGTTAAGCGAGTTTTGCCCCATTGAAGACTTTTCTTGACACGGTGGATAAGTGAATCCCTGCAATTGTTAAGTTAGTGACACGGTTGTGTAGTGAATATGGCTCCCCTGTGGACTTCGCTTGTCCGAAGGTCGCAAAAGGGGAATCACATGACTCTCGGGACACCACAACCCGTCATAAGTACATGCCAGTTGCCCTTCGTCCAAATTCTGAACACGTGTCCGTGGGAATGCTGCAACGGCTGGTGAAAACTGGTCGTATGACACTTTTTTTTAGTGTTGTAACTTTGAACGGACACTAAATGAGCTGTTGTAAGTCAAGGACTATTTGTATCTTTTATTTATAGCATTCCCCATTTAGCTAGAAGTAGAAGTGGTGTAAATGAACATTCGTAATCAATTATCCAAAAGGCCCATCCTATCAATCACTGTCCTATCCTCCTTGCTAGAAGAATGCCTGGGATCACCACGAATGTAGGAACAAGTGAAGGTGGTTTAAGTTAGACTTTTAGGTATCCTGGTTAGTTGGATTTGCTTTCTAATACAAGTGATCGAAACTGTACCTTTAGATCAAGTCAATAAATATTCTTCTATGTATTGTCTACACCAGGGGTCTTCAAACTTGGCCCTTTTATGACTTGTGGACTTCAACTCCCAGAATTCCTTCAGTTCTGGGAATTGACGTCCACAAGTCATAAAAGGGCCAAGTTTGAAGACCCCTGGTCTACACTGAATTAGCAGTGACCCTTGTCTCAAGCAAGGTTTCTTTTTTAGACCTACTAGCTACAAATATCAAGGCTACATTTGGGCTTTGCATTTAAATTTACATTTGCATGCAAATCTTGAATGGAGTAACTGAAATTCTATTTGTTTCATGGTTCAATATAATACAGTTAGGGCAGTGTGTCTCACCTTTAGCTACTTGAAGATGAGTGGACTTCAACTCCCAGAATTCCCCATTCTGGCTAAGGAATTTTGGGAGTTAAAGTCCACTCATCTTCAAGTAGCTTAGGCTGAGAAACACTTGACGGTATCAGAGCAAGATAAAACAACACTGTGGAAGTATGACCAAAAGCCAACTTATCTTCTGGAAATTACTATTATCAAAATAAAACTATTGGCAGAGATTTCAACCAGGTCATAGCCATAATCAGAGAATCCATAGATTATGTTTTCACGTGAACACATGTCATACACACAGTCTGGAGTTGACCTCCTTTCTAAGTCCTTCGGAAAAGCTTCTTCACATTTTGTTTCCAGGTATGGCGGTTATTATGAAATCAAAGAAGGAATAAAATAGAATTAGGTTCCACCAAAGAGGGGTGAGAATGATGTGGAAAGTGGAAGCTAACAGGTCTACTGCATGTAAAATGAGCATAAGTGAAGAGTTAACTATTTGATAAGGGGAATAGTGGAATCAGTAACTGGAACCAGTAAATTCCAGTTCAGAAGATGTATTGCTCATGTCTACACCCAAGGATCTGGCCAACTAATGGTCAGCCCTAAATTGGTGCTAAATAAGACTCAATGGAATTCAAGGGGGGGTTGAACTTGGAGCATTTGTGGCCATGTAATGATTCTAAGCTGAATCCTCTCTTGACGCCGCCCCCAACCCCTGCCTTTTTCTTCTCCTACAGGAAGCCATCCAACTGTTAATGGATACGAGCCATTCTGATTGCCATCTTCTTGGCTTCACCCTCAACACTCACTGTTTGAAATGTTCCTTTATTTTTAAATGGTGAATCATACTGACACCCTTGTAATCAACATCTGACAATTCCAAGGACTGTAAATAAAAAGGAGAGCGGGGAGGAAAGGAACCCTCCACGTGAAAACCAGGCACAAATCTTTAGGAAACTTGAAAAAGAGAGTTCTTTACAGCAGCTCAAATTGGTTTGAAGCTGGATGGTTTTCAATAGATAGGCAGGATATCTGGCTCTTTGCTTTATAGAGGTTGGGGGTGGAAATCATGTCAAATCCCACACAGAGAGGCATGACACAATGCAACAGCCAGATTTTTCTGCTCTAAGAACTTAAGGAAAAGTAGACTATTTAGTCCATGCAGCTAGGTCCTATATATTCCTTCCTACTGCCCCTTGAGTATCAGGGTCTGGATATTTCATAAAGCTGACACATCTAAAATACAACGGTCCATGAGATCAATTGCTAATAGAAAGTTTGAACCCCATAGACCAGTGTTTTTCAACCTTGGCAACTTTAAGATATGTGGATTTCATTCTTGAGATGTTTCTCAACCTTGGCAACTATAAGATGGGTGGGCATCAATCCTTACAATGTTTCTCAACCTGGGCAACTTTAAGATGGGTGGGCATCAATCCTTGAGATGTTTCTCAACCTTGGCAACTATAAGATGGATGGGCATCAATCCTTACAATGTTTCTCAACCTTGGCAACTCTAAGATGGGTGGACTTCATTCCTTGAGATGTTTCTCAATGTTGGCAACTGTAACACGAGTGGACTTCAACTCCTAACAATGTTTCTCAACATTGGCAACTTTAAAATGGGTGGACTTCAACTCCTTATGATGTTTCTCAAAGTTGGCAACTGTAATATGGGTAGACGACAATTCTTTGAGATGTTTCTCAATCTTGGTGAATTTAAGATGGGTACACTTCAACTCTGAGAATTCTCCAGTCAGCATAGCTGGGAATTCTGAGAATTGAGGTCCACAAATTTTAAAATTGTCAAAGGGGTCTTCAAACTTGGCAACTTTAAGACTTGTGGACTTCAGTTCCCAGAATTCCTTAGCCAGCCCTGATGTCTTCTGGGAATTCTGGGAGTTGAAGTCCACAAGTTTTAAAGTTGCCAAGTTTGAAGACCGCTGTCTTAGACTAACATCTGGAACCCATGTCTACCGAATAGGATGAATCTGGTCATGTAGTATCCGCATCTTTGTGATCAGTGTAATAATACCACTTAGGCTATACACTGGGTAAAAATAGAATAATCTCCCCTACTTCCAGGTGGAAATTCTTTGCTCCTACATTTTTGCTCCTAAGTCAGGAAAAAGACTTGGAAAGATCGGAAAGACTTAGAAAGATCGGAAAACAGATCTTTTAGGAGAAAATTGGGGAGAAATTTGTACCTGAATGGAACTCTGAATTCGACATACAATTTGAAAATGGTTGCAAGCTTCCTTCACCTTCGCATAAGCACATCTGCCTAATAATAATATTAATCAGTTCTGGAAGTGTTTGGATTGGCTGGGTATTTCTACATCTCTTGCTTACAAAAAGTGCTAACTTTTTTTTTTAAAGAAAACAATTGCTGGAGGAAATGAACCTGCAAGGGGAAAAAAAACCAGCTATTTTTGCTACAAGACTGCATTCTATCTTACTCAGAAAAGGGACTGGATGCATTTTGTGGTCCTCCCCCCTGTTCTTTCTGACAGTTTTTACATAATAAGAAAGACAGTAATTTATGCAAGGAGCCATTCTGAGCAATAAACATCCCCGAGTAAAATTGAGATAAATGATCAAAGGGATCAAAGACAAATTGTTTGATTTCTGTCTTCAGTGACCAGAGTGAAAATCCAGCTCTGGTCAGCAAAAGGAAATTATAACCACAGTAGAGATTATCTTAGATGCTCCTATGATAGCACGCAGGGTTATTTTTTTTTAAAAAAAAAATTATGAACTTCTTTGTCAGCAGTACTTTGGCATGAAGGAAATGTGTTGAAATTGCCTGTCAAAATGAAAGGGCGAATATCCTGCGGGAAGAAAATCAAAAGATATCAAAGGTCCAGTGAGGTTCTACTGAAATATAAATGTTTGGCATCCTTATGTACTTTGGGGGAGGACAGGATTGGATCAAATCTGAGAACAGGAGAGTGGAATGCCAAATTAATGAAATCTCAGCAGTATATGTCAAACAAATGTGAATAACATCCATCAAATGTGCAATTTTGGTGGAAATACTATCGGAAGGTATTATATCAGCGGTGGTATTCTGTTTTAAAAAGTCCCCAAACTATGAAATCTTAAAAAGGCAAGACTTTAAAAGGGACTAGCTGACTTTGTCAGCTCAAATCAATAATTCTGGCAAAAGTAAACAACTAGTAAGCCTAAGTGAAGGCTTAATCTTCTGAATTACAGGTAATTCTCAACTTGTGTCCGACCCCTTGCGACCCCATGGACAACGTTCCTCCAGGCCTTCCTGTCCTCTACCATCTTCTGGAGTCCATTGAAGCTCACGCCTACTGCTTCAGTGACTCCATCCAGCCACCTCATTCTCTGTCGTCCCCTTCTTCTCTTGCCCTCCATCTTTCCCAGCATTAGGCTCTTCTCCAGTGAGTCCTTCCTTCTCATTAGGTGGCCAAAGGACTTGAGTTTCAACTTCAGGATCTGGCCTTCTAAAGAGCAGTCAGGGTTGATCTCCTCTAGGACTGACCGGTTGGATCGCCTTGCAGTCCAGGGGACTCGCAGGAGTCTTCTCCAGCACCATAGTTCAAAGGTCTCAATTCTTTGGCGCTCAGCCTTTCTTATGGTCCAACTTTCACAGCCATACATTGCAACTGGGAAAACCATGGTCTTGACTATACACACTTTTGTTGGCAGAGTGATGTCTCTGCTTTTTAGTATGCTGTCTAGATTTGCCATAAGTTGCAACGGCCCTGAAAAATGGGACCTATGACCGTTTTTCAGAGTTACGACCGTCGCAGCATCCGTGATCACCTGATCAAAATTCAGATGCGTGGCAACTGACTCGTATTTACGACGGTCGTAGTCTCCTTTTGTGACCTTCTGACAAGGAAGGTCAATGGGGAATCCCGATTCACTTAATAACCAAGTTACTAACTTAACAGCAGTGATTCACTTAACAACCAAGGCAAGGGAGGTCATAAAATGGGACAAAAGTGAATTAATAACTATCTCACTTAACAACAGAAATGTTGGGCTCAATTGTGGTCATAATTTGAGGACTACCTGTAGCTTCTTTTCCTGAAATGGCCTTTATGTTGGAGAATATAAGCTGAATTTTAAAATGATTCCATGCAGCAGTTTAATTTAAAAGGCTAAATACCATTTAATTTTGCAGGAAATGTACCTTAGTTGTACCTTATTTGTCAGTGCCATTTAATATTTATTGACTATATTTAATTTTTAAAAAATATACTCGCATTAGTCTACAATCACCACCATTTAATTGGCCTCTGTGAGGTACAATAAATAGAAAACCTATTAAAGATTATATTTGCTCTCAATTTTTTACTTTAACGGTCAATTAATTCAAATTGCTTCTTGACCAGTCAGATGCCAAGTTGCACTCAGGAAAACAAATACACACACACACACAGCCAACCACCCAGGATGTTGCAACACAAATCTCAGGATATCACTACACTAGATCTCAGGATGTAATCACACAACCCATTACCCAGGTCGTTATAACACAAAAGACTAATGGGCACACAGCCAGTACCTCAACTACTCAGGATGTTACGAAACAGCTGAACAATCCGCAAACAATAACTCCCACACAGCCAACCAACCCACCTACAGCAACTAAGCCAGCACTCCACACACCCCCACCAATATTTATAGAGAGACGGCAGCTCTGATCACACTTTGCTCGCACAAGCACGAAGCCGAAGACCCCAGCCTGAAGATGACGAGTGGGACCTTGTCGAAACGTCGCCAAGATACTCTCAATCTTACATGGGAAAAGACCCGAATACGGCAAGACCTGCATACAGTATATATATATAAACGAATGGATTTCAGAGAGGTTAAGAGTTTTGCTGTCCTAATTTTCAACACAAGGGTTCAAATTTAAGTGTGTTTACAGCTAGGGAGATGTGCTTTCTCTCCATGAAAAGGAAAGTAAAACTATATGCCTGGGAAAATTAAGTAAATGATGATAATTGGATGGTGTCCCTGGGACTCAGAAGGCCTGTGTGGAGGAAGAAAAAGTGAGAGAAATAATCAAGGATCTTGTTATGGGTATAGAAGTAATGGAAGATCTAGCGGAGGCCATAATCTAAGAAGGCCAGCATCATTTTCAAGTCTTTGTCCCATGTTGCCTGGGTAACAAGCCACAGAAGGATGGAGAAGAGCTGGCAGGCACTGGAAATTAAATGAAACATAAGCCACGTTTCAACCGTTGAATAAAGTTATTGACAACCGAGTCTACAGATCCCTGAAGCGAGTGCAGAGAAGCTTGTTCAAAGAAAATGGACACTGCATGATGACTCCAAGGCTGGGTCTTCATAGCCTTGTCACAAAATCTCCCAAATGCAACAAAACTGCACGTTCAGCCCGTTCCCTTTTCGATCAAGCAGGTTACACAAGTAGATCCTCTGAAACTCTAAATCCTCCTCTGGATTTTGCTATGCAACATGATTCAAGGAGTGAGAAACCCTTTCGTCATTTATTGAAATCGGTTGAGACTCTAGAAAGAGTCCAGAGAAGAGCAACAAAGATGATCAAAGGCCTGGAGATTAAAACCTATAAAGAACGGTTGCTAGAATTGGGTATGGCTAAGTTTATTGAAAAGAAGAACTCAGATTGACATGATAGCAGTGTTCCAATATCTCGGGGGATGCCACAAAGAAGAGAGAGTCAAGCTATTTTCCAAGGCGCCTGAAGGCAGGACAAGAAGCAACGGATGGAAACCAATCAAGGAGAGAAGCAATCTAGAACTAAGGAGAAACTTCCTGACAGTTAGAACAATTAACTAGTGGAACAACCTGCCTCCAGAAGCGGTGAATGCTCCAACAGTGGAAGTTTTTAAGAAAAGACTGGACAGCCATTTGTCTGAAATGGTATAGGGCAGTGATGGCGAACCTTTTAGAGACCGAGTGCCCAAACTGCAACCCAAAACCCACTTATGCATCGTCGAGTGCCGGGTGGGCGTGGCCCGTCGGGTGGGCGTGGCCCATCAGGTGGGCGTGGCTGCGGTGGTAACGGCAGACTGGGTGGGACTAAAAAGTTCAATCAATCAATTTCAACTTTGCAAGATCTT